TTAGGATCCGCCATCTTGGACCGCCATCTTGAATTTTCTAAAATGCCATTAAAAAACTAAGCATTGAGGCAAACAGCTCAAAATGTCTTAAATACTTCTCAAACTAACATTTAATGAATAAAAAAGTGAGTTTCGAAGTGTTACTGATGATTTTAATGAAATATTCTCCCATGTGAAAAAATGACAGAAAACTACCCACCCCTCCCCCCAAAGTTTTTGTTGTCGAAAAAGTATTATGGTATTGTAGAGTCAGCAATGGGAGCAAGCTCAAATAGGTAAAAGATGCATAATAAAACAAGAAATAAGCTTTAAAAATGAAAAATTAAGCTTATTTTACATTTTTGAAAACCTATGTGTCAAAAACTGGTTGCCATGGCGACATGGATGACGTTATCAACAAAAAATTTATATCAAAATCTGCCCAGATAAATTTTAGGAAAATTCCGAAAGTTTCAGAGCTCTAGCTGTCTTGGTTCGAAAGTTATTGGCTTTTTACGCGAGGGGGGGGGGCTCAAAAGGCCCCCCCCAGTCTGAATAGGGTTAAATGACTTCTAAAACCCAAACCTAAGAAACTACAATAAACATGAAATAAATATAAAAATATCAAAAATGAATAATTGATGAAGATATCTCCATCTGAGCATGAGCAGTAATCAACTTGGTTTCCCACATCCAAGCGCCACTATGTTTTAGTGTACTGTGACTCTGCAAGTAAGTAATTTTAACTCGAGACCTGGTGAAGTTCTATGATGAGAGTCTAAAACTGAGAACTTTTCTAGTGTTGGGCATACATCGAGTGTCTGTAAATCAGTTATAACACTGATGCTTTATGCATGAGTGTTATAACTAACTGAGCCGGTTAGTTATAAAACTCATGTTTAATTAATCAGTGTTTRTAACTTGAGTTATAGATCCTGTCATGTGACCCATAGTTAAATGCTCATTGGAAGAATGTCTAATGAATAATTCATGAGTTTTAGAATTTACAGTAAAACTTGCCTAATATATCACTTATAGAATAGGAATTGCCAGGAACTGTTTTAGTTGCATTAGAAATAGTCTCGTTACCGTTATGATCCTTCAAAGATGCCGTCACTTTCCACGTCATATTGTTACCATGGAGATGGACGTTCAACCGCTGTACAGTTCCAGGTCGATACACCCAGGGCGTGGTGATCAAATATCCTCTGAAAAATATATATGAACCAAGAACCGGACTAAACTAGTACACATTAAACTTAGATACGAGCTGTGTAGATTATCCCAGCGCAACTGATTTTGTGGCGCTCTACAAGGACCGGGGCTCCTGTATTGTCTTGCAATTACCCCAAGAGTTCGAGTGTCAACTTTGATAGAATGCGTGTTTATCTGCCATGTTATTGACCCAGCCTTAACGAAGCTAAGTTACTAAAGATTTAGGGAGATTAGGGGAATTTAATTGAAACGATTTTGGTTGTTTCTATTGGCAGCTGTTATGCGTTGAGATATGCTGCATGATCAGTTTTATTTTTATTTTTTTTTTCTAAATTCATTTTAATTAATCTCACAAAAATTGTATCTAATTCAATATTATCTAACTAGAAAATGAGCTAAATCAATCTTCTACCTAGCCTCCTTCGCAGGCAACTCTACTCCGTGGGATTCCTGTGTTAAGGCAAAAAAGCTGCCGGAGGGGGAGGGGCTAGGAAGGACATACAGTCAATTCTTCGGGGTGGAAGCGGAATCCGGAATCAGGAATCTGCGCGCAAAGAAAAACAAAAACAAAAAACACAGGGAATAAAGAATCTTTGTTTTTCAATTCACACATCGAGAATCAGGAATCATGGAAATCATTTCCTTTAAATGAATCATGAATCCTCGATGAATTTGTAAATGAATCAATGGATTAGAACTTGAAAGGGAATCATGAATCATCGTTTCTTGAAAATTCCGCTTCCACCCCCGAGTCAATCGGACCATTATCGTTGTTCAGTTGTAACTAAAAACTTGAAGACAACTCCAAAGTCATTTGCATTATTTGCATGAATTGTTTGCAAATATATTCAACATAAAAGTCCAAAACGCAGGATCGTAGCGTCCTTTACGCATATAGGCACGTGTGTACTAATGGCAAGGAAAAATGTTCGGGATTTTTTTATGTAATTTGTCTCGATGCCCCACAAAACGCTGGAAATCGCATTTCCAATAGTTATTATTTCAAAATTTCCTCGGAGAGGACCCCAGAATTCCCTTAATACTCCCGCCTTCAGCGGTCGTTAGCTCCCCCAAATGGGCAATCCGACGTTTTTTTAGAAACACCGACGCAGCTCACACTAGGTTACCGCTGGTCTCCGCCATTTTGATCATGTCCAGGAATAACGATCTTTTCGCGTCAAATCACGTCTACCACACTTGTCTTCCCTGGCTAATTATCGCTGATTATCACTTCCCTATGGGAAAAAAATATCCACTCTTCATAATGAATCAGCCAATATTTTACAAATGAACGTCCAACCAGGTAAGCTAAGCCATGCTGAATATCATTTTACGTTGGTGAGCATTTAAAATGAAAGATTTCACAGCAACAAGGATCACTGATCTTATCAAAGGCGGTGATATTAGTGTCTTCCGTTTGAAGTGGCCTATTTTGCCTGAGGGATTATCCTACCATGTCTTATCCCCTAGAATTTTCGCTGTATGGAAAATATTAATACATAGCTAAAGCCCGTTGAATTGTTTCGGGCGATCCATACATTTCTTTATAATCGCTTATATCATTATTTACAGTGCGACGATCATATTCATTACACATTTATTCACGGCAGTTCCAACATTACTTCATCACATAGCTATCAATGAATTTTGTTCAATGTCATTCATGTAGCTTTTGAATCGCAAATTTGCGCGCGTTGGTCTTAAGAGTTTAGAAGTTCAAGAAGAGGACGACAACAATGCAACTCCGGTCCAATGTTTTCTTGTATCATTGACAAAAAAAGTTATACAAGAAGCCGTCAGTCGAAACTTGTTTTCTTGCTTTCCTGCTAAACTCACAAATATATAGAAAAGTAAGATGAAGGAAGGGCGCCACATTTGTTTGTGACTATCAACAATTAATGTAGATCAAAATCTCTTCACAGGAAAAAAAATATTTGTACAAGAACAGTTCAAAATTAGAAGAACAGACCTCGTCGGCTCCTCCTGTATAAGATGTTTTAATTGTTAAAAATTTAACGGCTTATCGACAAAACATTAGTAACAATCATGAGGTCTGAGAGTAAGGACATATAGTACTTTGATTATACATCCACGATGTGAACAAGCAATTTTACTATAAAGATGACATACAAGATCGAGAGAAGGCAGTTCGAACAGGGGTGTTCAACAACGAACAAGAATGCTTAGAGAAATAATTAATCTTCTTTTTATTAGAGGTCTCGTATTCTGCTTTCAAACCTAAACAGTTTTTTGACCCAAACTGCCTGGACGTTTGCTGCGGAAACCTACGAAAAAATCAACTTGCCAAACGCTATTTTGGTTTATATTCCAAAAATGGGTGTTCACCGTATGATTTGTCTTTCGCTCGGTGCGGAGCCATTTACCCGTGAAAAATTTATTCAAAAACAGTGAATGAAAAATAATAATTAAAAAAGACACACTAAAACTAAGCATTTCCTCCTCGTTTTTGCTGACATACTCCTTATCGGAAAATGACGGTGATGAATAACAGTGTTCAGAACTGAATACATCACACGCCTCAGCTCATGTAATAAAGCTTTTGTACTTTTGCGTACTAGTAAGGAGAATTCTAGTTATTAAAGAAATTGGGCCACCATTCTTTGTTTTGGTAGATACATTCAATATGTGACATTCTTATATGATTACTAATTTTTGTATCTTTTACTTTTCAGATAAAGCAGCTTCTTCCCAACTCACCATAACAAAGATCTATGTGTATAACACAACCAGACGCTTAGACTCAAGACCAAAAGCCTCGGTGACAGGCCATTTAGCTGAATTACTAATTTAATATTTTGTAGTCTTTTATCAATTACAGCAATTAATATGTAATTTTGCAATTAATATGTAATTTTCCCCTAATACTGAGATTAGCTGAAAAAATAGAAAACAAGTATTAAAATAGCATATATTGTATGTCATTGTACGTGTTGAGGTGCGTATAGTCCACGTACACAGCATAGTCTGCTTGCACGATAAAGACATATAACTATAATGAATGATCTGCGTGCTGCATGCTTTCATTTTTTAAGATTTTTATAAACTTTATTCCCTTCGGGAGATAAGTCAGGCACAATCGTGACAAATTACATTAAAACAGAAGACACTAAGTTGTATTTAACTTATTTAGGATGGTAGCATCGTGCTGAAATAGTTTATTCTACAAGTGCATTATTAAAAGACAATAAACATGTAATTGGAATATGCCAATTTTTCTGGAATAGATATATAGCATATTGTACATTCGCATGCAGAATATTCTACTTATTTTTGATTCCACATTTGATATAGTTTTTTTTTTAAGATCGATCATGGTAGGGTCCCAACCTAATAGTCAAATTACTACCAACGGAAAAGCAAAGTTAGAATATTCTTACCCTGATTATTTCATATCAAAATCATGTTATTTAGAGTGGGAAAAACACTGGAAATTATACTCGATTGCTACGACATTAAAAGGGTGGTAATTTTAGATCTGCGTAATATGTAAAACAAATATTTACAATGGAGCTACAGGACTTATCAGAAAAATTACAGAAGACTTTTGTGAATAGTAAAAAAAAATAATATCAAAGTTTTAATACTATGCAGATAGAAATTCTAAGGTTTCTTCACAAACTATCATTTCCCTAGAGTCCCTCAAAGCAGTTGAGACCCAAGCGCAAATGCTGAAGCAGTGCTCTAACCGGATGTTTCCTATGGCTTAAAAAGGTCAAAAAGCAATATTTTAATCATAATAATAGAGTATTTCTACTCTAATTTTTAAAGAATACTTTTTCAAAACAATGTGTTAGTTTCCTTAGCCCAATCCTTTTTGATGCATAAAACAAAATAGAAAAGCATACAGGCATTTTCAAGAACAACAAAAACTAGAAATATAATCCACGAGCTAACCAAGGACTTGCTTAGATGCTTAAAGATTAAAAAATGTTACAATGCTAAAAGTCAAAGCTAAAAGTCAAAACGTTTATTGAAAACGGATGCGATAAGCTTTATTCTTTGTAAGCAAACATCTGTGACAGATTTTTTTAAAGACATCCGATTATCGACAATTAATAGACCACACTTGAAGAATGAGTCAATCATCTGCTTGATTCATCCTGTTTGCGTCGGTTTCAACCCGTTTTATCAACGGAAGTTGTACCAACTATCAATTTTATATAGCTGTGATTCAAGAGTCACACAATTAATTAAAACATTAAAGTATATCTTTAGTATAGAAAAGGTGTAAACATGCGAATGCTTTTCGTCACATTTATTGCGTTTTTAAAGTTTACTATAAAACAGCTGCTTTCCTTTGAAATTCATGTACTATTTTCCCCTGCACGAGCTTTTCACTCTAATTTCTGAGAAAATACTATGTCGATATTTTATCTGTTGATTGAAATGGCTTATTTTGAATGAGTTTCAATCCGCATATGTCGACTACCACCAGTTTTCGTCCCTCAGCATTGCTAACAGCTTGACAACTGGTTTAATTTCCTCCTTTTTTAGTTTCAGTAGCTTTGAGGAGTACTTCATTCGAAAGCTTAACTGCTCAGGCAATAGTCTTAAATAACTGATTCACAGAAGAAGCCTAATTACTATACTGTGATTGTTCATAGTTGGAACTTAATTTGATATCTTTTTCACTTTAATTGTCTTATTATTCGTTTCATCCCACAAGATCCATCACAAAGCTACACGTCATGTTACGGGAGATGTGCGTCCTTTATAAGTAAACACAACAGTATAGCAACCGTCAATGTTTTTTAGTCTTTCAATTACAGCTCTAATATACTTTAAATGATGTATCTCAAAGGAAGTATTACCGTTTTGCTCTTTATTTCTATAGCCATATTTATACCAACGTCATTAAACATTTAAAAAAGAGATCAATCAAGCTGAAATCGTATTCTGTCTTTCGTTAGTAATGACTCCTTCGCTCAGAAAACCTTCTTGCAATATACGGCTCCACGTTAACCTTATAACAAACTTGGAAAGTAGATGAAATTAATCACTGTATTTTAATTTAAAATCAATACAAGCAAGCACATTTTCTCAAATATATCGCAGTAACATTTTGTCTAGCCTGCGTTCGAACCGAACTAAACCAACACAACGAGAGTTTTTTGGTTCGGCTGAACGCAGGCTATATTTAATCACACGTTTTTTGTTTTTGTTTTTTTTTTTTCTTTTCTTTTTAAGAATCGAACTAAAGGGTTATATTGTATACCTTGTCTGGATTTTAATAGTTATCCTACAAATTATAGAGTGCAAAGAATAACAAACTCAGGCTCTTTTGGTTTTTATTATATTTTCGATGATCTTCGTCAAGTTACAAAGTATTTTGTATTTCACGTCATTGTATGAAGAACATTTGCGCACGAAACAGATTCCTCTTTGATCAAGTTTTATTGCAAAAATATCATTCAATCTAATTGAGTGTAAATTGGATTGGTGTTATCCATATCCACGAGTTAATCCTGCAGATTATTGATAAATTACAAAAAAAACTGGAAATCATCGAAAACTTTGACTCTAAACTATTTTAATTTACAAAACTAAAGAGGTTACCAGCTGCAGTTTCTGTTATGCAAACATGACAAAAACAACCCTTATTAGAAGCAATTACAGAAATAACCTGATAAATTAATCATTCCAAAAGCTCTCAAATGTGCGTCAATAGCAGACCATGAAAACATCACAGTGACAGGCAAACTAGACACTCGTTTAGAAAACATGTTGAAGTTTACACAATCTCTAGTATTTATTTTAGTAAAACAAAGATGTCTTTATAGAGCCATTTAACATACTTTGAAGCTGTCAAAATACTGACAGTCCAAACTAAAATAGATTTGCGTCAAATGAAGGTCGAGCTCAACATCCGGTCCAAAATCTGCTACTTATACAGCAGCCCTGTGTATCTACAAATCCACTATCACTCGAAAAGCGCTCAGACAACTCAAGACTGATACCTAGCTTCCAAACATGGCAATCAAGACAGTTTTTGCTGTTTTTCTCGTACTGGCTGGATTCGCAGGCATGTCGTTCGCAGGAACTATTCATCTCAAAAACTCCAAGATGACTTTGACAGGGACTGGTACCATTAAAGTGAACCCACTTGAAACCTTTTGGGCTGGAATAGCGAACAGTGAGTACAACTCTCTTTATTTGGTTCTAGTTTTGATTTGATTCTAATGATAGTAATTAAAGTTAGATGTTAATAACAGAGAAAATGTCATAACGTTTTAGTTTGATAAGACATTGATAGTTCATTGGTTATTTGGGAAGGTTTTCTATTGTATTGAAGTGCGATTTTACAAAATACTCCAATTTCGAGTTCTGGTTTGCTCAGTGCTAACCTCAAAACCAAGTAACATATTCTTATGTTTTATTCTTGATAGTCCGAAAAAACGCATGGAATTTGAAAAAAACCGTCAACAATAGAATATTTGAAATCTCACACTTTATTTTATTCTCACAATTAGGAATATTTTGCGCACAAAAGAGGCTACACAGAACATTGGAGATTTCGAAACTGGATATGATTTATCGCAAAAAAATGTCTTAGTATAACATTATAATACAGTACACACGATGAAGCAGATAATTTCAGTTGAAGAAATAAAAATCCTGATAAAGAGAAGTATTCATAATCTTTCATACTTTGAAATTGACTCTATATTCCTTTTTCTCGGTTTCAGCTCGTCGCTATCCTACAATACTCAGCGGTGACCTGATCGCTCTAAGACTCTCCTATTCTAGTGGTGCCCCACGATGGATGCAGTGTTCTAAGTCATCATACTGCACCACGTCAGCCTGCCCTGGAGGAAAAGTCATGCTAAATTCCAAGTTCTCGTCCTGTAAAACCGTGGTTTTCCGCATACGAACCCTCGATAAACAAGACGGTCAGGCGGTGGAAAGCGGTGATTACGTTGCTCTTACCTTTCCGTATAATGGTGGGAAGACTTTATATTGCTTTAGGTCAAGCTCTAAGCCTTGCCGTGCATTGTAAGTACATACAATTTCATACATCTAATTGACAAAAAATAGTTGGCTCAAAAGGTTACATGATCAAAGATACGAGACCTAAAGGGAGAATGGGAAAGCAAATATTATGAGTAAATGAGTGTTTNTAGTGTATACACAACATGATTGAAGAGTTTTTGATGAAGGATTTCATTAATAGTACTAATCACTTCATAGCCGTCTTCAGCAGCAGGACAATGTTTCAATGCTAAAGAACCATTGATGAAGTCATTCTGAACATCTACAACTAACAGTGCTGTGGTTCTTGCAGTTTTCTATCAAACAATCAAGAATATTGTTTATTACACATAGCTGTGGAACACTTATATTTTGGAGGGGTGGGGGACAAGCTTGAAAAATAGTACATTTCATTTTTTTTTTCTCCATATATATTATTCATTAAATTTGCCAAACTCGTGCCCCCTTTTCTACAAATCTTCTGAAAAGTACACGGTCACATGTAACACTCTACCCCTTTTCTGCACTGCAAAGTTGCATACATATTCCTTTTCTTATCCYTGGAGATTTTGTACCCATTCAAGAACAAAGAGCATATCCAAAAGAGAAGGAAATTTGTAGGCTCCGTTCATATGTCAAGCCAGCTTTGCACTGAACCAAATAGTACATTTAGCACATAAATGGCTCAACGTATAAATCAATTAAGTTCAGCATGACTGTACCATGTCAGGGGCATGTCAACATCAGTCTTGCTGCACAGCAAAAGCTTGATGCTGATTCAAACATATTGCTTTTGACATGCCAAACTTAATGAACAAAAATATCTGTTTTGGACAATAATATTAAATGGATGTAAATTGCATGTATTTCTTATGCTTTGGACTGCATTTGATTCACTGTACGAATCAACACAGTTCTGTACCAAATGTATTTGGGTCAACAAATGACTATTTGGTTCAGCRCAACAATAGCACGACTTATGAACCGGGCCTAACGCATCAGAGACTTTGTTTAACACAGGTTTGCATTTTTAGCCTAATAATGCTATTAAACACTTGTCCATTTTGAAAAATTTATTAACTTAATATATMCTACCTCTCTTAACCAGTAATCCCAGCAGGTTATGAATGTATCTGATTCTTCACCCTCCTAGAAAGCAAACCGTCCCAGATTTAGATATCACCATGGAAACTATACCTGCTTAAATTAAAATTCAAGCATGTATCGGACACTTTCTGACGCATTTCAGTAGCTTTCAGTAGTTTTCATAGCCAACTCAAAACTCAATCTCGTACCCAGAGCCCACGTTACTTTTGGTCTGCGACAAGTACTTGGCTCTGGAAATATCCAACACCGGAAGCCAGAATCAGGCTATTTCACCCATGCGCAGTAGAAACCCCAACTAACGGCTTTATTTTACTGATTTTACTCAAGAAAACTGGTTAAATGAAAGCCTTCAAAGTCATAAAAGGGATTTTTTAGACCTTAGATGATAAATCTATCTTCTTCAAAGCTATTTTAATATCTACTATGATCAGCTCATAGCAGACAGTGACGGTTTAATAGCGATTATCATGCCGTGACAGTTCGTCGCCTCACTGTATTCCATTTTATACTTAATTGATCATGTTACTCTCAAATGCCTACTTCATAGACTTAAAAAAAATGCTTTTAAAGGAAGAATTTAAGGTAAAGTAGGGAAATACAGAATGATTTGAGTCTTTTTCTTGGTGGTATTTTCACTTCCGGCGGCAAGTGAATTTAAGGTAATTTAAGGTAAAGTAGGGAAATACAGAATGATTTTAGTCTTTTTCTTGGTGGTATTTTCACTTCCGGCGGCAAGTGTCTTTATTTTATGAGCCAATCAGAGAGCGAGAATTTTTCGTGTACTCCAGAGCCAATGTTTTTCGTCGAGCTTGTGACAGTGGCGCTGGGTACGAGATTGCTCAAAACTGTAAAAAAACATGTCGTCTTGTATCTATGTATGTTCATTGCATTGAAAAGCTTTTTATTTAGACAAGAATAGCGCCGATTTAAGGCGCATCATCTACTAAAAAAATGAACTCTGACAAGGTTGCAAAATCGACTTGACAAATGTAAAAACATAC